CAAGACATGACGGAAACGTTCCAACGTCCGTTTGAGATGTGCGTCAAAGAAGGTGATGTCAGTAGTGTTATGTGCTCTTTTAACCGTGTTAATGGCATCCCCACCTGTTCTGATCCAAATCTCTTGAAGGAGACTGTAAGAGGCGAATGGGGTCTTCATGGGTACGTACGTACTACGTAGTTAATTAGACTAACTTAATTATTGGGTGACCTATATATATATATAATTAACAATATATATTCACAAGTGATTAATTATTGTTCTGAAGGTACATCGTCTCTGATTGTTATTCAATCGATACCATTGTGAACGATATGAAATGGCTTGGTGACACACCTGTGGAAGCCATTTCTCAGTCGATGCATGCAGGTAATTAAGTACTAGTCGATCGATCTTCACACTTAGCCCTAATTAATAAATTATTGATGGATGGATGAATATTAATGTAATATTCATTAAAAATTTCAGGGTTGGACTTGGAATGTGGATGGTACTACTCCAGCTATGGCGTGGAAACCAGCAAAAAGGGAATGATTAGTGAAAGGGAGATAGACAAGGCGTTGAGCAATCTTTATGTGGTTCTGATGAGGCTTGGATACTTTGATGGTAGCCCATCTTACATGTCTCTGGGAAAGCCGGATATATGTGCTCAACAACATATTGAACTTGCAGCAGAGGCAGCCAGGGAAGGAATCGTTCTACTCAAGAATGACAACAACTCTTTGCCTCTCAACACTAATACCCATAAAAACATTGCTGTCATTGGGCCCCCATGCCAATGCTACCAAATCCATGCTTGGAAACTATGCAGGTATTATATATATATAGCTAATTTATTTATTAATTATCAAATCAATGCTTTAATTAATTCTCCCTTCTCCCTTAATTAATTGCTTAATTTTGTTTAATTTGTTTTGATAAATAATATAGACTCATTAGGATATATTAATTCATTATATATGCACCCAAATTGTGTTTGTGTGTATAGGTATTCCATGCAAGTACACTTCTCCCAAAGATGGTCTCTCCGCATTTGGTAATGTTACTTATGAAAAGGGATGTGCCGACGTTGTTTGCAAGAGTGATAGCTTCATTTTCTCAGCCATGGAAGTAGCAAAGAAGGCAGATGCTACTGTTGTTGTTGTGGGGTTGGATTTGTCAATTGAGGCCGAGTTTGTGGATCGCCTCGATCTCTTACTCCCTGGCTACCAAACCCAACTGGTGAATCAGGTTGCATCCGTTGCCAAGGGTCCTATTATTCTTGTGCTAATGTGCTCCGGCTCTATCGATGTTTTTTTTGCTAAGAACAACCCTAACATCGGAGCCATTCTCTGGGCTGGTTATCCTGGTGAGGAAGGTGGACGCGTGCCATTGCTGACATTGTTTTTGGAAAATACAATCCTGGTAGGTTTTTTCCTTTTTTTTTTCTTTTAATGTTTCATTTTCACTTTAATTAATTAAATTGATTTTTAGGTTTTATATTTTATGCTTCAGGAGGAAAAATACCAACTACCTGGTATCCAGCTGATTATGTGAATGCATTGCCGATGTCATCCATGCAGCTAAGACCTAATGACGAGTTGGGTTATCCCGGAAGAACCTACAAACTCTACAATGGAACAACTGTTTTCCCATTTGGATATGGCCTGAGTTATACCAATTTCAGCTATGAAATAACATCCCCAGGAGGGTCTATTGATATTAAACTGCAAAATAATCAACATTGCCGAGATGTTACTTATGAGGAAGATTCATATAGACTCCTGTGCTCTGCTGTTTTAGTGGATGATGTGAGTTGTGATGCTGCAGGTTATGAGTTTGAGGTTGTTGTTCGAGTCCAGAACAACGGAACAATCGATGGAAATAATGTTGTTATGGTTTATTCTAAGCCTCCAGTTGGTATCCTAAGAACGCATCAGCGACAATTAATTGGGTTTGAGAGGATTTTCCTAAAAGCGGGTGAAACCCAAAATGTTAAATTTTTGTTCAATGCTTGTAAGAGTTTGATAATTGTTGAGAATAATGCTTATCGTCTTCTTCCGGCTGGGGAGCACATGATGGTTGTTGGAGATGGGGAGGCTTCAGTTCCAGTTCAAGTGAATTTTGAGGGACAATAAATCAAGTTAATAGTAGATAGAATATACCGATATACATATATCTATTAATAGCATATAGATCATAGTTAATTAGGAAGTTAATTAAAGTTATTGTCATTTTTAGCTAGGTGGTTTTATTTTTAGGTATAATATAGTGTAAATTAGTGAAAGTGGAGAATTTATGTTTTTTATTTTATTCATTAGTACTGAAATGTCATAGAATGAATTGGTGAAAAGGGAGAAGTAGTCTTTATTTCTTTCTATTAATTCTTTGTTGTCAATTTCCATATATGTTAATTTAATGCTATCACGGGCTCTTGAATTGGATGTGTGAGTGACGAGTTGTGATGAGAAATGAGAGAAATGGTAGAAGATGACACCTAATTAAGATTCCATTTTGCAGGTCCATCCAGCTCGAGTGGCAATTAATAATCTTGGCGCCGGCCGGACTTAAAAATTCTATTTCCATATCCTATCATGTTTTAAAGTTTAGGGTGCGACGTTAATTAATTATTACGGGTTTTCTGTATTGGCACAAAATTGAGAAAAGAATAAATTTTACGCACACTTGACAGTAAATATCATCATTTTTCATTTTTGGACTTTAATTGGACTACCGGTACTAGCTAGCTAGCTAGAAAAGAAGTTTGCTCAAAACCAAACTGGCCCCTTTGGGTTGGGGCGGGGGGTATAATCAGGAAAGATTAATATTGTTGAAAGCAAAGTTTCTCTAGAATATCCATTATTGAACTCAATATATTCCATCGTTGTGTTTCTTAGAAGATTAAGTTTTGAAGCACACTGCACCTCAGCAGCAGCAGTAGCTATTATCAAGTCATGTCGTTAAACTACTCTTCTTAGGCTGAACACAGTGTGCCGATCGAGACGGATTCAAATCTAGATCCCAAGAATGAATTTGGTCAAATACGGCTTTGGTTATCGTCACTTCATCGTACGGCTTTGATTCAGGGCGGCTACGCCCTACGCTAACGGGCGTAGCAGATATTTTTGCTTTTGTTGGTTTAATTAATCATTTAAATAACGGAGTAAGCCATTCTTCATTTTTTTTTTTTTTTTTTCTTGATGTTTCTTGTTGGTATCAGAATTAAAGGTCCATTCTCTGTGTGCCCAACTAGTGCTCTTCCCCTTCTTCCAAAAATCTATAAGCTCCTTTTGCTAATGCTGAGTTTGGAATTGCTGTAAAACTTTATCGATATAAAAGTACATCAATAATTGTGATTAGTTACCGTTGTATTTTTAAAAAATGTAATGCGATCAAAATAAACTCTATTCCATCTAAAAAATACATATAAAATTGAATTGGAGTAGAATTTTACGTCGATCATGATTATATATTCCCTCCAAACACCAATAAAATCGAATTGATGTAAATATTTTATATCGTTCTTGATTTACACCAATTCCAAACACAGCCTAAAGGATCCTTTACATTGATTCAAACATGAAAGCCCACAAGCCAGGCCGGGTTCATTGCTTAGGCGACCAATGCATAAGCAAAGGGGGGGTAGTCTTTTTACTAACCAGGCCGGGTTCATTGCTTAGAAACTCTCCCAAATCTAAGACTTAAACCATAAAAATGTCGTTTTGTATGATTTCAATTTTTTAATCCTCATCCATCCCACAACCAAAGCTTAACCAAAGCTTGTGGAGTTGTTGTAAAACTCCACTTGTTTTCTAATAGAATCTGCCCATATAATTAAATTGCATTATTCGATGTTGCTAGCAGCTGATTCAAATTTCTTCAATATTTTCTTTCTTGGTTCCAGATTCTCATCCTGACCTTTATTGCTTCCTTCCGTATTCCCAATACCATTAATTGATCGTTCAATTTAAATTTATCTATTAGAGTTATTCCTATATTCCCATAGATAATTTCATTTCTAATATTCCTTCTTATCTAGTTTTTCTATTTATTCATATTAGCATTTACATTTCTATCACATTTATTTTTCTAGATATATTGTTTCTTGATTGTCCAACACCCTTCTCCATACAACATAGTTAGTAGTCTTACAACTGTTTTATAAATGTAAAATGCTTTAAATATAAGATAAAACCTAACACTACCATATTAAAAAGAAAATATGATCTAATAAAAATAGATATATAAATTAAGTAAGAAAGTAATAAATTGCATTTGAAAATTATACAAATTTTAAATAAATACAATTTATTATATACAAATAAACTAGGAAATATGCAAATTAAATAGATGGATTATTTTATTTAGGTAAAGAAGATTGCAACCATACAAATATTAAACTTTCAGAAAAATGATTAATATTAAAACAAATAATATGAAAGTAAATAGAAAACGAAAGTAGATGATATTGGATTATCTAATGACTAGGTTCAAATTCTCCCACTTGCAATTTAGGGCATGCTTGTGTAGAAAAGATAATATTGAATTAACATGAACCCTTATACTTTAATAAAATAAGTACATTTGACGAAATAAATAGATAAATTATAAATGTGGCAATCCGATCCCAACCTAAACCCAATCTAATCTTAACGCACGTCGAAATTTTAGAGTTGGGGATTCAACAACTGGGGTTAGGTTAGGGTTGACCTCAACCCAAGGTAACCCAGCCCGGACTTGCACCCTTTAGGGCCTTAGGGCTTAGGCTGTGTTCTTAATACAGCCTTTTTTTTTTTTTTGGCCTTAAATTTAAGTCTGAAGGGGATTGAGTCCAAAAATCCCTAAATTTTTAATTACGTGCACAATTTCTTTTACGGCCAGGACGGAAGGTAAGTTTCAAAGAATAAATGATATCTGTCGGGGGGGTATATGGAAGATTTAAAAAGTTACGGTATATTTAAGGGAAATGAAAACAAATGAAGGGGTTTTAGATGATAACCCTAAACCCTAACTCATTCCCGTATAAATAATCGTTTAAAGCGTTATCCTTCTCTTCCTGTTAGGGCTGGGAAGATAGCAGTCAAAACCCTAATTCTCGTATCTCCAACTCTCGGACGTATTCAGCCATGGTAAGCCAATCTTGCATTGGTGCTTCAGATATTTTCTTTAGTATCCCTTGGTCTCTTATAGCTTTGTATTTTTGTTGTTCAATCGTTTTGTGCACCTAATCGTAAACATGAAGCTAGATGCGGAAACATCTAAATCTTCCAGGTGCATCCTGTAACATTTCCCACATCTGAAAGAACATCTGATTTTATAGAATGCTATAGTTCAAATGCTTGTTTTAGCTCAGCAAATCTGGTCTAGTATAGATGTTGAATTATCTATACAGCTCGTCTATTTTGCTTCCCTAACGAATCTTCTTATTCAGCATGTTAAGATCAGTTTTTATGATTTTGATCAGCAGTTTATTGTCTTAGGGTTCTGGTAGAGGCCCCTAATTTATTTGCGGAAGGAATGATTGACCACCAATTTCTTATTATTTTTATGTCTTATGGGGGGATATCTGAAGTTGTTTCATTGTGAATTGTTGTTTTTATTTACCACTCTCACGCTTTACAGTCTTCGCGTTTGAATTTCCTCCGATTTATTTGGAATGTAATGTAAATTACATCTGAATATTATTAGTTAGAATGATTTTCTCTCTCTGCATTTTCATGATTTTGAGGTTAATGTTTTCGACACACCTGGGGTATTGTTTTGAATGTTTTGATTAGATTATTCTGAATTTTGTAACCCAAGGTGCACTCTTTGATAAAACAGCATGAGCATGAATGCCATGAGTACAATGTTTAAGTGGATTCATGTACAGTTTCTCCTGTTTTTGCTTCTTTACAGTAGCAAAAATGAAATTTGAAAATCGACTGACATCCATTGTTTTATGTTCATGGTGATGCGGTTCTGCAGTCAAGGAGGAAGGTCAGGGAACCCAAGGAGGAGAATGTGACACTTGGACCTACAGTCCGAGAGGGGGAGAATGTGTTCGGTGTGGCCCACATTTTTGCATCATTTAATGACACATTCATTGTAAGTGCTGATGCATTCATATTGTTAGTGCAATACATGTTTCTTTGGTCTGATCATATGAGTTTTCTACCTGTTCTGCAGCATGTGACTGATTTGTCAGGGCGAGAAACCATTGTCCGGATTACTGGTATGATTTTTGTTTGGGTACCCTAATTTTAATGGGAACATTAAGTGAAAATTCTATCTTAAGTTTTCTGATTTTTTGTTGTCATAAGCTACTACAGCATCGAAGTCTCTGAAGCTAAATCCTAATCACACAGTGTTAGATAAATTATACCCCATTTCCTCGTATTAACTATAGTAGCACATACCAAAACAGTTTCCTTTTGGCAGACTTAGGTATTCCCCAGGGAAAAAATTTTGGTGGATTAATGATTATGATATTTTCTTGTATGCGGGATTACCTGTATGTGTTTATCTCCTTTAAAAGGTGAGGAAACAAGTGTTGCTATAGTACATGGTCAGTCTTATTGTGAGTGCTCCCAGGAACTAGTGGCTTATGCATTTGCCTTGCCCTTGATTGATCTTGTGGGTGTCAAATAATTTGCTTCGCATTGGATGATTGTCTTTCTATGCACACACATATAAACTGTTATTTGTGCATGCTCATTTATTATTAGCATATAACCATATATATTTTTTTTTGTTTTAGGCATTTTTATGCCACATATTGGATTGCAAAATTTTCTTGAAAATATTTGGTACCTCTATTCCATATGCTACAAGACTGGAAAACAAGTTATTGTGAAACATTTCTGTTCACATCTTTCCTGCATGATAGCCTCCTTAGATCACACCATTAGAATAGAACTATTGCATTAGGTTAATTGTTGAACAAATATATTCAAATGTGGAATGAAATAGATACTGAAAAGTATTGGCCTAGTGTAGGACTGCTGGATGCCAATGTGTGCTTTTATGCTTGTAGCATGTTTAGTTATGATGCATGTGCAGGGTACTGATGCAACTGATGCCATTGAATTTGGGTTGCTTTGTGTCAAATAATTTATATTCGTAATTCAACATAGAATTGAGTTATTGGATGAAAACATTTAATGCATATTTAATTTAAAAATTTAAAGTATGTTTAATCCATATTTTGTTGAATCTTAACATGTAGAAGATTATCCTTGTTGATAAAAATTAGAGAAAAAATGCCATGCATTGTGTACATTAGCTGCTTGTTTATGTTGGATAAGAAAGGAGAAGTGTCCTTCAAGAAATTATAGTGCTGGAGTTCAATGTGTCATGTCTGTCTGACATGTACACTTCCCATCGATTTGTGAGAGTCCATTCAACGGTTAGTCCATCATGAATGAATTCCACTGCGATTATTCTTGCTATAGAGTATTTGAGTGTTGAAATTAATTATGAGTTAGGAGCCATATATTTTAGTATATCTATTATTTGGGGTGATATGGTATCTTAACATGTTCACATAATGCATTGTTCACTCGTGGAAGAATTGTGACATGCTGAAAGATTAGCCAATTTGGGAATCTACAAGAGAAGCACTAGTCTTTAGGAGTTGATGAGTTCTTGGTGTAGTTTTAAAATGTGTGCAATGGAACCTATGAGATTTGATATGTGAATGTGATATGCATTTTGTCCTCTGTAAATATGAACCTTACTGTTAATGGTACTTTGCCTAGAAGCTTAGGTTTTAGTTGATGTTCCGGTACTGTGCAACTTTGACTTTAAACGAAGCGTGAAGCGACACAATCAGTTATTATTGTTCCATGTGGTACTGCCTTTTTTTATGGATATAGTTACATTTATTTGCCTTATATCCTGTCATCAACTTCTAAATGTAATTTGAAAGACTTGACTTTCTTCATGCAGGAGGTATGAAAGTCAAAGCTGACAGGGATGAGTCTTCACCATATGCAGCCATGCTTGCAGCCCAAGATGTTGCACAGCGGTGCAAAGTATGTGTTTTATTTCTCTATCTGGTTAACTATATTTCTTTTAAAGTTCCATATGTAACCACTTGCAATGGGGATGCTCAAAGCTAAGAAATTAATGATAGTTCATTACTTTTTCAATTGATTGATGCTTATTTTTCTTTCAAGTGATATTTTCTCTCTAAATTGTACACCCTTTTGCTTCTCTTTTCTTCGCAAAAAATTGACATCTTTGTCTTCCTTTCTTTTAAGGAGCTTGGTATTACTGCTCTGCATATCAAGCTTCGTGCTACTGGTGGGAACAAGACAAAGACACCTGGTCCTGGTGCCCAGTCTGCACTTAGAGCCCTTGCTCGGTCTGGAATGAAAATTGGTCGCATTGGTAAAATATACACCTTTTAATTTGGCTTTCAATATATACCATATAACCATAAGATTTAGCTATCCCATTTATAATCAACTCATCTAGGTATCATATAGATTCTTCAATTTTTACTTCACTGTTGTATGTTGTACATGCCCATGTTTGTTTCTTGATTTCTTTAGGTAAATCTTCCATGTTAATTTGGTTGTAAGCATATTCAGCCATCAAAATTTTATCCCAACCATCAGGGGTTGGCTACAGGAATCCTCTCCCCTTTCGTCATCACATTCTTAAGTCTCTAACGACTACTTGCCCTCAGTCAAATTACATGCATCTGGATTATTTCTCATGAATCTAAACCTTTTGTCTTCTCCCTGTTCTTCCAGAGCTTCTTATTTATTTGGATTGGGTCAATGGTTTACCCAGTGCTTCTATGAATAACATTGCTAGTATTATTTTTGATTGGTAACTTTGGTAGTCTTGTAGCTATCTTGTAGAAGTGTGAAGTGTCCTTTTTTTCTTGTTGGCGTGCACTGATTCCGTGGCACTCCAGATGCGTTTTTTCATTTCAATCACATTGTTTATCCATTTTTTCTTGTTGGCGTGCACTTACCTTTTTTTTCCTCTTTTCAGAGGATGTGACTCCAATTCCCACCGACAGCACTCGCAGAAAGGGTGGTAGAAGAGGAAGGAGGCTGTGAGTTTTGTTTTGCAATGCCAAAGCATTTGCGGTGGTGCAGGTTTAGGGGGGTTCGTTCCAGTAGAGGCTGTTTCTATTTGAACAATTTTGTAGTTTGGCATTTTTTTCTATTATTATATAAAACAGAAGTGGGACTAGTTCTCTCTTTTATGGATGGTTAGGTTTTGTTGTTTTGATCAACTCATTCTTCTATCAACATAGTTTTCGATTATATATGGATCAGAGTTACGATTGGGTACATGTTCTTCATTATTTCATTTATTTGTTTATTTATCTAGTTTGCTTGCTCTCGTGCTTGTAAGCATTGTTATTCTTTCCATCTCATAGGTCATGCTGTTAGAAATTTCTTGCTTCTTGGGGGAGTTTGACTTGTGGGGTAGGAGGATCTGCTATCTTTTATAATTGAGATTAAAAACTTATGCAAGGTTTAAAATATCATTTTGATAAATACAAAAAAAAAATGAGATTAAAACTATATAATTCTGTAATTGCTTATCAACAATTTAATAACATATTAATGTATTAATACATGCAGGTCATAGAAATACTGATAAAAAACGATACATGTAGTTCATATATTCAATTCCAAGTTGCACCGGATGCTTTTATAAAAGCAGCCAGAAAATAGAAACGGCTGAGTGCTGACAGTAAATGGAAGGTCTACTTCCAGACTTGCTTGTTTTGAGGACTTCTACCACATCTTGCCTCATCCATGGCAATGCTACTTGAAACCATTTACATAGAACCAGAGCAGCTTTTCTTAACTTTCCTATTCCTGATCAGACTGCCTGTATAACAAGTACCATTTGCATTTGCAGAAGAACGATATACACGAAGTCAAGTCAGGTTTGGCTTGCGCTAACCCATTAAGGGTGATTCAAATTCGATTCGTTTATAATTTGATCAAAGGTTCGAAATACAGATCCACCCTATCTGATCCAACATAAAAGTTGGTTTGAAGGTTGCGTTTTTATTAATTTGCTAAATTTTCAAATTTACTTTCAATTCATTTTGTTCATGGAATGATGGAATATCATATCAGGCCCCATTTGGTTTGCAGGGATAGGGGTCCAGAATCAGGATTGGAATTGGTTATACTGATTCCAACTATTTGGTTGAGCAGAATTGGAATCCCATTCCCATTCTTGCTAGAATGGCGTTTCCCCCATTTGAGGGAATGGCTATTCTTGCCCCCATTTCTGTTTAAACCAAACAAACTATAGGAATAGATCATTCCAATTCCAAAGGATTTAGATTCTGACTACAAACCAAGCGGACTCTCAAATCATTTTTCCTTCTATTTCAAAAAAAAGTCAATTTTTTATTTATATTTATTAGTAAACAATAACATCTAATATCTCAATCTTATCTATACATTCAATATCCAATTGCAATTCAAATATGATATAAATCCAATGGATAAGATCTGATTTGAATTCCAATATAAACAAATCAAATTCACATCTAACCATATCCAATTTGATTTGATGCATTTACATCCCTACTATCTTGGATGGTCTGAATGACCACAAGCCAAATAATGGCTTGAGACAATGTCAAACTCCCATGCTAGTTGATATTTTTATTGTATATTGCAGTCATTTTGGCTCTATGTCAGGATCACCCTACAAAAAATCTAATTCACTTATTATTATTATTATTTTTTACTTTCCAGTTTCCACTCTATTCATCTATCTCTCTTGCAAGTGCAAATACACAATTCCATATCTATGAGCATTATCAATGTCGAACACATATTTTTGAGAGCTTGTTTTTTTGCTTTGAACTCTGACATCTGAAAGTGCAATAATTATATTAAGAGGTATATTGGTATTGGTGAATTTTTCTTTCCTCTGAACTTATAATGCAAAAGATGTTCTGAATTTTGAAAATGATCAAATATCTATTTTGACCCCCTATATGAGAGTTTTTGTTTGTCTTTTTGGGGGTATCATTGGGAAACAAAAAAATTGTATGATTACGCTTCAAAAGATAAGAGATAAGAAGAAAAGAACAATGATTTTTCTTTTAAAGTTAAAAGATTTCTCTTAAAGATAAGAGTTAAGAAGAAATGAAGAAGCCCCGAGTCTGAACTGAATAAATAAAATGAGATATTGAACCTTCCTGCCTCACTCGTCCCATCAATGGTTCTTTACTCCCCGATAGATTTGATACATATTTGGGTTGGGAATAGGATTGCAACATTTGAAATTTTTTGTAAATGTAGCCTTGGCTGAGCATAATTGTATTGACAGGTCGGCTGTACTTGAATTGGTTCTGAATTGAGCCAAACCCATACTGAACCAACCCGTTTGGTTTGGTGAACGTAAGTGTAGATTCCAAAACGAACCTGATCCAAAAACTCGATCAAACCAACCCGACTCGACCCATTGACATTCCAACAGGCTACAAGGCAAGAAAGAGATCTCAGCCCTTTTTAATTTTTAAGGGACGGTTGTGGTGGCCTAAAGCCTTATATTCGTGTGTGTCGATGGGCAGAAGATAAACTAAAAACTCGAAGCAACCAGGAACGGTAAAGCAGTTGATGAAGATGCATTCAGCGATGACTCTTCGGCGGTTTTGCTGTTACAGTGTAGCTTCTTCAGCCATTAACCCCACAACCCGCAAGAAGCAGCTTGTCTTCATGGGTTCTCCACAGGTATAGGCTTATAGCAATCCCCCCCTCTCTCTCTCTCTCCAGTCCCCGACTTTTAACGGCTGCATTTCAGGTCTCTGCATCTGTTCTCGAAGCTCTTCTTGATGCATCTTCATCTCCGGGTTCCATGTTTCAGGTACTCAATTGTCAATTCCATTGCTGCCTCCTCTTTGATGAAAGGATAAAAGGATTTTCTCCAACTTTCATTCTCAATATTTTTGAGTACTTGGGTTCAGAGCGTTTTCTGGAAAATTGATTATGGGTTTTCCGAAAAACTGTGAAAGCGTATAAATTTTATGATTTCTTTAAGTTCTTAGATGTCTCCAGTTCTTATGGCTTTCTAATTTCTATTAACTCTGTTACTTTCGTGATTGTAATTTGATTTTCATAGTATTGTTGTACTAGCGAAGGTTGCTAATTGTAAGAAAAACCATTAAAGGCATAGAAATATGAGCATTTCTCGTAAAGTTTTAGATGTTTCCAATCCATTAAAAGCATAGAAAAACCATTAATAGCTTTCAAATTTCTATAAACTCTTATGCTCTAATTATTGCAAGCAATCTGATATCCATAGATTAGTTATGCTAACAGAAATTGTCATTTTAGGCATTTTGCTTTTTGTATAGTAGTAATACTAGAGGAAGTTGCCATTGCAGGTGATCTGATGTTCATTAAGTTGTTAGTGGAGGTTGCCTTTCTTAATTTGGTGGTTTGCATAATTAAATCTTTTGAAACAAGTAGCAATACTGTATTTGTAAGAAAGTAACTATTTTGGAAGTGAAACTTAAGTGATAGATGAGCACACACAGTGTGAAAAGTACAAAATGGATTATTAATTGATTAAGTTTAGGTTGCAGCAGTTGTTACTCAGCCACCTTCTGGAAGAGATAGAGGTAGAAAGGTGATGCCTTCCCCAGTTGCACAGCGAGCTCTGGATAGAGGTTTCCCATCGGATCTCATTTTCACCCCTGAACGAGCTGGAGAGGTAATGGGAGTTGCTGATGTTATGGAGTATTTTTAGACAGGGAATGGAACTTATTTTGATTTCAATTTGTTCTCATTTCCACCTATGGTTGACATTTAGATAGTTATTTGTTCCTTGAGAAAAACCTTTCCCATACTGTTGGATGCATATTCTTCATTCTGGTGGTCTAATACTCATTTATCCAAGTATTATAGAACCTCAGCACTATGCATCTACATCTTAAGCATTATAAATTGTTTTGTCTGGCAGTTGAATCTTTATTGCCTTTATTGTTATCCGTGGTTCAAGTTTTTTTATATACTACATATCATGCTAAATTGTCATTTAGAGAAAAAACAGATGATGGGAAGAACCAACAATTCCCCTTGTGCCTTTGTTAGTTTGGTCCAATCTCTATGCATGGGCACAAATTTAACTCCATTGATGATGTCATGCCTATTGTTACTTTTCTGTCTAATACTTCTGTTGAACACTGTTATGGTTGTGGTTCTGTCTGTAGTTTCTCATGTTATGATATGTTTGCATCTGATGGAAAATGACATTTTTTCTCCTCGGAAGCTTGATATTGTGAATTTGCATGGTGTAGTTTGAGTGCGGTTATACAGTTTGATATAGAAATTAGTCATATACACAGACATATGTAATATTTTTCTTCCTGTTCTTTTAATTATATGTGGTGATTTGTCTGGTACACACTTTTTTTGATACTTAATACAAATTATACTTACTTTCATAAAAAAAAAGGATAAGTTTACTATATATCTGTGTTTGTGTTGTTGCTTATTCCAGTGCAGTTATAGTTTTCCATATTGTGCATGAAATACATAAATGAAGAGCACTTAATGCCATTCTATTGCAGGAAACATTCTTGTCCAATCTGAAAGCATTGCAGCCAGAGCTTTGCATTACAGCAGCATATGGGAATATTTTACCTAGCAAGTTTCTCAAGATTCCATCATTTGGTGAGTCAATATTTGTTGCTATAATATCCATGAAATGAAGTGTGGAATTTAGAACTTGAGATTTCATTTCTCCTTTCTGCTATATTTTCTGCTTGACTATTAGTAGGAAATGCATCATGATTTACATATTTCTACATCTTTTTTAATCTAGAATGTTTAGTTTTCTTGTGGTTCAAATGATTTATTGCAATCTCTGCAGCACTGGTAACTACAAGCTATTTTAGTGTGCTTATCACTCCATGGAATAATTCTAAAATATTTCTTATTTCTGTATCCATGTTTAGTCTCCTTATTTATCACTTGAATTAAATCACATCTTGATAAAATGTATTCTTAAGGAATGTTATCCTGCGACATAATAATACTCTCGAGTATTTCATGAAAAATGGATATATGGAACATCTATTACTAGGTGCAATTTTGTGTTTCTGGACATTATGTAAGCTTTGCAATATAGGTTCTTATGCAAGTGATTGCAGGCAATGTACCAAATAGCTGGTGATAGCATAATTCCCATGATGTAGTGACTCATCCCCTAAATCTCTAGGTGGAGAGACATAGCTATATAATTAAAAAATGAGAATTTTTGGATGCAATTCCTTGTTTTCCCTCATTTTTTCTCTTAAGGTTTTGTTGTACTTATAAAATCTATTTTTAATATATTAAAATTTTGGTTGTGCTGTCTCATATTTGACACAGGCTGCATAGCCATAAAATTCACTGTTGACATGGTTACCCAGGGGGCAATTTGAGAATTGGTATACTTGGAATTGCAAGCATATCATCATGTGCAAGTATAGAGTACTAGATATTGTTTCTGAGGATCTCCAGTGCTAAGCAAGGTTCAAAGTATCGACACGTATCAGCCCGTATTGGCTGATACGTATTGTGCCAATGGCTTTCCGATACGCCCCTACAGATATCGGGTTAGACCATGGTTCAGAGGGTATCCGGGACTTAAACTGACTTCTCTGAACTGGTTTTGAAAAAAAATAAATAAAACATAAAAAAAAGCACCAATATGGCGTATCGGCCTGTGTCGATACTTTGAACCTTGGTGCTAAGGTGTTATGTAATCATATCTTGGGTGGGGTTTAGCATACTTTCTCTTGTATAAATATATGTTGGGCATGGTGTACCTTAGTTTCTTTAAGGTAGGGTGTTAAAAATGCAAGTTGGATTATGTAAATGTGACAGTTGTTCAGGGATGTTTGTGGCATATTGTATCAGTTTTTGGTTGTACCTTACTACCTTTTTGAATCATCTCTCTTTTTTCTGCTATTTGGGTTTATATGTTCTTTTTGGTATGACTTTCTATTTGTGTATTCTTGGAGTCTGTTGAGAGAGAGGTACAACTGAAGGGGTATATCTGAGTTTGGATTTCTCTATTCTATATGATAGTGGGATCACTATAGCTCTTTCCCATGGATATAGGCTATTGAGCTAGTTAAAGCAGTCGAGATTCGAGAAGAAGAAAAGGAAGAAGAAGAGTTTTTCTAATAACTCAGGTGTGTTACTATTCACACCCTGAAGAGTTTCTTTTTAACATTTTAAGAAAATTACAAATTGGCCCTTGAATAGGCGCCCAAATACAAGAAAAGGATGAAGGACATAAATGCCCTTACATTCTCAACACTCCCCCTCAAGCTGAGCATAAACATTTGTCATGCCATTTATCAAAAAAGATATTTGTCATGCCCAACTTGTTCAAATTGTTGTCAAGCTTTGATTTGGAGACACCTTTAGTAAGACAATTGGCCAATTGATCTTCAAACCTCACAAAAGGTAAGCAAATCTCTCCACTGGCAACTCTTTCTCTAATGAAATGTCGATCAACCTCTATATGCTTTGTACGGTCATGTTGAACAGGATTGTGGACTATGTTTATGGATGCTTGATTATCACAATATAATATCATTAGAGTATCGATCTGCACTCCCATTTCTGTCAACAAGTTCTTCATCCATAACAGTTCGGAAACTCCATGAGCCATAGCTCTATACTCTGCCTCTGCACTAGATCGAGCCACAACTGATTGTTTCTTACTTCTCGAAGATACAACATTACCCCACCCACCAAGGTACAATAGCCAGAAGTAGACCGCATATCATCAATAGAACCTGCCCAGTCAGCATCAGAATAAGCTTCTACCTTGAGATGCCCATGATTAGAATACAACATCCCTTTTCCTGGACATCCTTTTAAATAGGCTAGTATTCTATTCACTACTTGCATATGAGATGATCTAGGCTTATGCATATATTGGCTAACCACACTCACAACATATGATATATCTGGTCTAGTCAAACACAAGTAGAGAAGGCGACCGACAAGTCTTTGATACATAGCTTTGTCAGGAAAGACATCTCCATCATCAACTCCCAACTTATGATTGGGATCAATTGGAGTTTCAGCTGGTTTACAATCCAATTTCCCTACTTCCTGAGGTAGATCAAGAACATATTTCCTTTGAGAAATATAAATGCCCCTCTTTGACCTTGCGACCTCAATCCCTAGGAAATACCGAAGATTTCCAAGATCTTTAATTTCAAATTTAGTAGCAAGAAAAGACTTTAGTTCTGCAATTCCAGAGATATCATCCTCTGTGATAACAATGTCATCAACATATACTATCAACATAGTCACTTTTCCATTCGCTCTCCTGATAAACAAGGTATGGTCAGCTTGAGATTGAGAAAAGCCTTTTTAAGATAGTTTTTTTGAATTTGTCAAACCAAACTCTAGGGGACTGTTTAAGGCCATAAAGGGATTTCTTCAAACGACAAACCTTTCCTTCACTCCTAAGGATGTTCACTCCAGGAGGAAGTTCCACGTAAACTTTTTCTTGAAGGTCGCCATTAAGGAATGCATTCTTAACATCCATTTGATACAAGGGCCAAGAGTAATGGGGAGCAAGAGACATGATAACTTGAATTGAGTTCATCTTGGCTATTGGAGCAAAGGTTTCTTGATAATCAATGGCGTAAGACTGAGTGTACCCTTTTGCCACTAGTCGAGCTTTATACCTTTCAATTGAAACATCAACTTTATGCTTCACTGTGTAAATCCACTTACACCCAACAAGAACTTTGCCCACTGGAAAAGAAACAATTTTCCATGTTTGATTTTTCTCAAGCGCCTCCATTTCCTAATTCATAGCATCCTTCCAATGAGGGAACTGCACTGCCTCAGTAACACTGTGGGGGATAAAAACAGAAGCAATGGAAGAGATATAGGCACAATAAGAGGGAGATAAGGTATTATAAGAGACATAATTTGAGATAGGATATTTAGCACATGTCCTTTTTGCTTTACGAACTGCAATAGGAAGGTCAAGGTCAGAAAAGGAGTCTGATCTTCACTAGCATTCTCCCCCTGAAGAGAAGAACGAGAAGAGGAAAAGAAGGGAGTAGACTCAGAACGTAACATCTTTGGTTACATACCTTTTTCTAGAGCGAGGGTCATAACAACGATACCCTTTTTGGATTGAAGAATATCCCAAGAAGACACACTTAATAGACTTTGGATCAAATTTCAACCTAGAAGGACTCATCATGGACGAAACAGACGCACGCCAAGACCTTAGGAGGAAGGTGGAAGGTATCCTCATCAAGAAAAAGAAGATGATGAGAAGACTGGGGATGAAGGGTCTGCGAAGGAAGTTTGTTAATAAGATATACAGCTGTTTGTACAACATCCCCCCAAAACCGAGTTGGGACATGCATCTGGAATAACAATCCCCTGGCAACTTCAACCACATGTCTGTTTTTCCTCTCTGATACCCCATTTTGTTGGGGGGTATAAGGACATGAAGTTTGGTGAATTGCTAATTTCTCTTCAAAGAAAGTTTGTAAGTTCTTCTCAAAGTATTCCTTGGCATTGTCAGATCTAATAATCTTAATCTTCTTTTCAAATTGTGTCTCCACCATATTAAAAAAGCCTTTTATAATTAAAGGGACTTCATCTCGGTTCTTCATCAAATACAACCGGGTATACCGCGAGTAGTCATCAACAAAGAGAATAAAATATTTATAACCACCCATACATGGAATAGAATAAGGTCCCCAAACATCAGTATGTATTAAATGGAAAGCAACATTACTTCTCTTGTTACTTGCAAAATATGTGGTTCCATATTGCTTTGATAGTTGATAGACTTCACATTGTAGACCAAAACTAGACAAGGACTCAAACAGACTAGGAAACAAAAACTTCAATGAACCAAAAGACACATGCGGTGATGCTACAATTTCAATTGACTTAGTTTTTCATCATGATAGGACTCAGACTGACACATTAACCCAAACTTTGGAGACTGATCAAGAAGATAAACTCCATCGGTTTCATGTCCACTGCCAATCGTTTTCCCCGTACTCAAATCCTGGAAGACACAATAAGATGGAAAGAATGTTGCAGAACAATTATGAGACTTTGTAAGAGAGCTAACAGATAAGAGATTTCTATGTAGTTGTGGGACATGGAGAACTGATTTCAGGGAAAGGTTGTTGGTAAGTTTAACTTCACCCAAACTCGAGATTGGGGTCTGAGATCCATCAGCAACAGTAATCTTACCTTTCCCTGAAAAAAGTTTATACGTGGTAAAGTAGGAAGTCATACCAATCATATGATCACTGGCTCTTGTGTCAATTATCCAAGAGCCAGAGGATGAGGCATGACACGCAAGTGCAGTACCTGATTTTGCAAATGCACTAGAAGGTGTATGTGAACCAGCAGATGTAGGCAACCCACTCTTTTCAAGATGGAGCAAGATGCCTCTCAATTTTTCCATCACATCAGAGGTGTCATGAGTAGATGCTTGAGCAGAAGAATTTCCCTCAAGCATGTGAGTCTGAGAATCATGACTAGCTGTAGCAACATGAGCATTTACCTTCTTTCCGGTTTTAAACTTCTCAGGCTTTAGGTGGGGATTTAGTTTCCAACACCTATCCTTGGCGTGCCTTGGCTTCTTGCAATATTCAAAAACTACATCTTCAGGTTTTCCAGAACTCTGTTTGTGTTTTGTAGACACAAGAGCAGTGTGCTCACTGACAGGAACTTGCATCATGGCAATCCTCCTACTCTCTTCATTCTGCACCAAAGAATATGCCGTGGAGAGTGACAAAATATCAGCACTAAGGATGTGTTGCTTGGTGAAATCATAATCGGCATTTAGTCCAGCAAGAAAATCAAAGACTCGGTTTTTTTGAATGCACTTCCTATATTGTTCATCATCAATAGGATCCTTCCACTCCAAAGCTTCTAAATGGTCCATTTTTTCCCAAACTGATTGTAAGGAAGAGATACATGGCCATCGATTTCTCCCCCTATCACATATTACATGCTTCTCTTCGCAACTGATAGATTCTAGTGGTGTTCTTCGCTTGAGAATAAGTTGAAGTTAACCTATCCCAAATGTCCTTAGTTGTTGGAAGGAACATATAGTTGCGGGCAATGTGAGGCTGCATAGAGCATACCAGCCATGACATAACCAACAAATTATCCTGCTCCCATTTGGAATAATTTGGATCTTTAGGCTTCGGCTTAGCTTCCTTACCGGTAATAAACCCAAGCTTACCTCTTCCTCCGATTGTGAGCTTAGCTGTTTGAGACCATATTCAAGAAAATTTGTTCCTTCTAGTTTTATAGTAGTAATTTGCCTTCCAGCACTGTCTTTACTTCTCGGGAGGAAATATGTAGGTACGTACACATCGTTATGTGAGTCCATTGATCACCAGCCCTCTAAAAACACTTTTCTCACCAACACCACAATCTTCTAACACTAGCTGAACACCCAAACACTTTTCCTTGAAGGTTAAACACGGGCTACAACAATAAATAGAAGAAAAGAAGGTGCTGGCGGCAAAATAGGGGAAGAAAAAAATTCCCAACAAAGGTTTTAGGGCTCCAAAAAATCTGAGACTGCTTCCTATAATCTCAGAAAAGTACCACACTTCAAACGCAAGTGGGTTTAACAGCAACCAGCCCACCATGCGAGCATGTAAGCCCTAAACTCCAAATCTGTAATTTTTGCCAATTTTCATCTAAAAAAATCCAAGAAAAATGTAAAAAAGCTTCAAACCTCCATGAAATGTATATCAAAATTCCTCTAAAAAATGAGGCACATCAAAGAGTGCCAAAACCGCACATGAACACCACCGACTATACGGGCTGTTGACGTCAATTGGTAGCGTACTGATGTCAGCAGGTTTATCTGTGAGTCACGACCAGTGGCAGATGCTCTCCTTGATCTTTTGATGTTCCGATACCAAGTTAAAGCAGTCAAGATTCAAGAAGAAGAAGAAAGAGAAAAGGAAGAAGAGTTTTTCGAATAACTCAGGTGTGTTACTGTTCACACCCTGAAGAGTTTCTTTTTAACATTTTAAGAAAATTACAAATGGGCCCTTGAATAGGGCCCAAATACAAAAAAGGACGAAAGGACATAAATGCCCTTACATTCTCAACAGAGCTAAACCCTTGTTTTCATTGGTAACTGGATACTATTCATCTGGACCTTGTCAAGTATTTCCTCCTTTTTATTTCTTTTCCTCGTTTTTACTATCTTCTCTACTGATTGACATCCTTAATCATTGATGTTGGTTCAATCAATCAATATTCAGTCCTTGGAAATAATTATTTACCAAATTAGTCATTTTTCTACTAAATTTTATATTAATCATTGAAATCAGTCTTATCCAAATAGCAATGTAAAATGTATTCAATATAAAGGAAAAAGACTGCAAAATTATGATTACAGGTCTCTGGTTTTTCTTTGTTTGCAGTTACATTTTCTACAATCCATGGAAAAAATTTGGTTAGTTGTTTGATTTTCCATTTATTCAATTTTCCTTTTGGAAAGAGATTGAGGGGTTGCTCTTTTCCTATTCTTGCATTTGGTGGAATACTGGCGGTGATGCTTTTCACATTCTTTTGTTAATTTTATGTTTTTAATAACTAATATGCATTATATTGGTAGACAAACAATTATTTTTAGCAACATGTTTTTCCTATGCATAAGCTTGAAGAGATCTCCTGAACAGTTAAGGAATGCGTAATTGTTGTAGTCAACCTTTTATTTTTTGAATTTAATTTTCTCAGGGACAGTCAACATACATCCAAGTATACTTCCTCTGTATCGTGGTGCTGCTCCTGTTCAAAGAGCTTTGCAGGTTTAGTATCCTTTTAGGTTCTTCTGATGCTTACTTGTACCATCCTTTTTCATATTCTTTTTACTTGTGGTGAGTTTTACTATCAGTTCTAATTTTATGGATTAGGATGGTGTTAAAGAAACAGGAGTATCACTTGTGTTCACAATTCTTGCACTGGATGCTGGACCTGTCATTGCCTGTGAAAGATTACAAGTAGATGATTGTATTAAGGTATATTAAGGTTCTTCTCCAGCAGTGGTTATTGACCTCACCTTCTCCATGGTGCAACAAAATCTTTGTGGTGTTCTTCAATGTTTCAGTCAACTAATATGGTTAGAAGTTTGGTTGAATATAAACAGGTGGTGGGTGGGAATATGGTTTGCATATGTTCATGTTTATGTGGAACAAATCTAGAGAAAATGTTGTGCCTTTTGTTATGTTAGTTTGTAATTGTTTCAAGATAAAAAGACACCTTTTTCTTCTTTCTTTACAGTCATAGATTTTAATAAATGCTTATGAGGTGTGTCGTTCGTATGGGTAAGAGGGATATTGGCATGTTCATTATGGGACATTTTCTCATTTGGTAGTGCACGGTACAGTGTACTTGATCTACTTGATTTAAAAGGCACGCCTAGGCACACAGGCGAGGCGCATTTTAGGGTATACGCCTCACCTAGGTCCTAGGCACAGCTCTTTCAAAAGGCGCATGCCTGGTGCACCTGATGCACCTTGTGCCTCAGCCCAGGTGTGTGCCTTTTGAAAATTTGATGCTTTTTTGCTTTTTTTTTGGACCTAGTGGCTCGGTTGGGTGCCCCCGGACCCTCGTGCCACGCCCCTCGAGGCAAGCCCAAATAAGTCCATGTTAGGGTCTTCAATTCTTAGTTCTCACACAAAAAAAAATAATGATTTTATAAATTTAATTGCTTTTTAAGAAGATATTTTAGTAGGATGAGTGAATGAACAACATTAGCAAATAGAGAGTTCTCGGACTTGAGGGGCATGGCACAAAGGCGGCTCGTAGAATCAGGAATATAATATGTTTTACATCACATTAGCTACTTGAAGTAATGTAATTGAGGAAAACACGAGATTGTGGTTTTTACATGYTTGAAAAAAATGTTTTATACGTTTGGTTTTATTTTTAAATTCTCATTTGAATATGCTTTACATGTTATGTTTATGTATTTTAATTTTAGATAATAGGTTTTTTAAAACATTTATTTTAAAATTCAGTTTTATATTTTTATCTTGAAAAAATGTTTTATACGTTTGGTTTTATTTTTAAATTCTCATTTGAATATGCTTTACATGTTATGTTTATGTATTTTAATTTTAGATAATAGGTTTTTTAAAACATTTATTTTAAAATTCAGGTTTATATTTTTATTAATATTATGTTTATTATTTTTTTTAGCATTTTTTTTTGTATTTTTGTGCCTTGCTTCAAAAAGGCACGCACCTCACCTTGTGCTTTTAAAACACTGGGTATCGGTCCAATCTTAATGACATTGACTTTGTGAAGAAATTTAAAATATTAAAAATAAGAAACTAGGCCTGAGGGATCTGGATAGATGAAGTTTCTAATTTCTATGGGAATATGAAAGATGGTGACTTTATGTGCACTACTTTTACCTTGCTTCATGGCACAAGTGGCAAGGTAATTTTAAATCTTGGAAGTTTTGGCCACCTCAGACCCTAGATCCAAAGAAGACTTTTTCTTTTGAAATTTCATTATTTTAGGTGAATTCTTTTGAAAGTTTTTTTTTTTTATCAGTAATTCTTTTGAAAGGTTTCTATTATTTTATTAACATTTTTAATGTTCTTAATTTTTTTACATGTTAATTTTTTGTTGATTTTAATACAAATTTCTGAAGTTTTGCAGAAATTAATTTACTCAAAATATATTCATATTTTGGAGCTTTGGTTTATGTAAATTGCATTAATTTATGGAAATTTGAGCAAGATGTAATTAGAAAACACAATGCTCACCAGGAATATGCACATTGACCTCAACCAGGTTCTGTACATTTTTTTTTTTTTTAATTTTTGTTGATAAGTAACCATTCAATTTTATTAGTTATGGAATGCAATTGTACCTATGTACAAAATCTTTTTGAGAGATGACTTCTACTATCTCTCCCCCTTTTTATTTACAATTGCGCCCAAAACATTTGATCTCTCCCCACCCCTTGCTTTGCTAATTCATTTGTCATGCTATTGACAACCCTCTGTAGCCATCTAATTCTCACTTCAATCTCTCAAGTCAGTCACCTGAATTATTTTATTTCATTTCCATATTGCCATAAGGAAACCTCTTTACACAATTACACTGCAACCACACTATCACCAAATTTAAATCACCTTCAATAACTAATTTCTTCATATTCACATTCCTTTCCCATTTTCACATTCTCTGTTACAGCCATAATCTCAGCCCTTAGTGGGTCTCCTACTCCAACTGGGCTTGAGAATAATGCAACAACATGCCCATTCTTATTTCTGAATAGACCTCCCACTCCCGATGGTCCCACATTCCCCAAACTACTTCCATCGAGGTTCAGCTTCACAAACCCTTTTCTGTTGGCATCCACTCTCTACAAATGATGGTCTTTTTTAAAGATGTCCTGCTACTTACTTCCACTATTTGATAATGTCCTCGGTTGTGAATGATGAGAAACTCTTCAAGGATTTTACCCAATGAACCACCCTAGAATTCCTTGGCTGATCATGACCCCAGAATAGCTTATTTCTTCCACCAGTGAACAACGGGTTTGCTTTGAACTACTGGGTATTTCTTTCTAATGAAACTTTGTCTAATAGTGTTCACAGCCAATATTCCTGTTGGCTTAAGTTTGGAACATCATCAACACTTTATAAGAAGCATGGTGCCTAGTTCTAAATGTCTGTACTTTGTTCAAGTAGGGGACATAGGCATGACTAGGCCTCTCAGTTTGAGGTGCCCTTGTATTACTGGTGGCCAAATTGTAACATCTAATTGTGCGTTATTGTAGTTTTAGCATTGAAACTGATATTCCTAGCGTTGCTCTGTAAGTTAATATTTTTGAAAAATTTTAAGCCAAAATATTATCCAAGAATTCAGGCTTAGAGCCATGTAAATGTTTCTTCAAGATAGCTGGAGCCCTCTTAAATGCCTTTTGGGAACATTCCTGAATTCAACCAAAATGAACAATCAATTTGAGCCCTAGGCTTCCAAAAAAAATATCAATATGAGCTCTAGAGAGAGTTGCAGTTCCCTATAGAGGTTTTTCTATAAAGCTTTGTTTGATCTCCCCCACTATTTTAAGAAGGAAGCTCACTCCAAACTAAGATCTAGATCAAAATACTCGCTCTGCTAAATGATCTTTTTTTGAGAAAAGGTAATTTTGTATATTATATTAGAAGTGAAGACGTGTGTACATAGGAGGATGTAGAAGAATGGGGTTTAGCTAAGCAAGAAGGATGTAGAAGAATGTGTATATTATATTGAACAAGGTGCTTCAGCTAAGACAGAACTAATGGTTGCTGTTTCTGAAGTACAAAAAGCTAAAGTTATGGGGTTTACAAGGTTGGTTATTGAAGGGGATTCGAAGATAGTAGTTGAGTGGTTACTTATAAAAAAAAAGTAGTTGGGTGGTTGAAGAAAGGTAAGGGGGCAATATAGAAATGAATTCACACTTCAAGTAGCTGTCTAGAAACATGAACATTCAAGTAAGATGGGTAAGAAGATAAGCTAATGGCTTGGCGAATGGTTTAGCTAAGCAAGGATTGGGCTCAATTGTAATAGGGTAGTGGGGTATTGTTGCTGTAAAGGGTTTTCAGATTTCACAACCTCTTGTTGTAACCTCTTTCTTTTTTAAGTAATTAATAAAATTTTTCTGTGTTGCTCATCCAAAAAAAAAAGAGCCAAAAAAAGAGGATGTAGAAGAATGCACAATACTATAAGCAGACAGCTTCCCTCTACAAAAAAAAAGAAAAAGAAAAAGAAAAAAGAAACACTAATCAGGCACAGATCTGTCACTATACAAAAAAGTCCTATCAGTCCCAGATTTATCAAGATCACCAACTATAAAATGAATCTGTCTAGGTGTATAATGAATGTGCCCTTAATCCTGTCAAGGCTCTCTAGGATTTGCGTAATGATTTTGAATGTGTAGAGTAGATAACTAGATAAAAAAAATGAACAATAATCAGATAATAGAGCTCTGTAACCCAAAATCTAGATTTAAAATGAATAAAATGAAGCATGACCTTGAGCAAAGCTACCATTCAACTCTATTATTAGACAACTACCTGGATTCTCTGTCTGTCTGTCTGTCTCTCAAAAATCATGTTCTGGAGCATGGTGGATGAATTATTACCTACATCATTTTTCAGTAATAGAATTATTACCTATATTTCATCTAGATAAATTTTCCAGACAGAAGATTGCATAACTCCTGGTATGGTATGTATGCCCAAAGTGCAAAGTCCACCTGAAGTGACTGTGTTTACTTGCATGTTGTGCTGTTGAGGTGACTAGATCTGAAGACCTTGCAAAATTCATTCATAAAGAATAGCACTTAAGCATTCTTCTAACTTACTAGATTGTGCAATAGTTCAACCAATAAGCTTATTATCCGATAATTTCTTCTTCCTTGGAACTTCCTCTATGAGAGAAACCAGAAATAACATCTAAATACAAAATATTTTCTTGATTCTCTCTACATTTAACTCCAATTTCAAGTCAGGGTGGGCCTTGCAAATCTATCTTTAGAATGCTAAAATTGTCTTAGAATCACAAGATATTATAATCTATTTGTTGTTTTGATTTATAAATCCTTGATAAACTGTATGTGTTTTCTAGGTATATTTTGTTTTAATAGTCATTGTTGGATAATGTACTGCAGGCACCTGAGTTACTTGCACTGCTATTTGATCGAGGTATCATTTCTACTATTTATTGGCATCTTATGTGAATCCCTTAACTTCATGCCTTTTACATCTTGTTATTTTACCTGGATTATGTAGAGATGATTTTTATTTTTTTTTGAAAACTGTGAAACTCAAAAGGGAACAATGAGATGCTCCTGTACACTGAGGTACTGTAGAAAGGGGATTTACATCAGAAACAGAGAACTATCAAAAAATCTGTATACAGTGTGCCTTTAAAGTTAACAAAAAAGATTTTCAAAGTCAAAATAAGAGTTATGATTCTTTCCTTTGCAAAGATTGTGATTGGCCAGACAAGAAAATATCATCCCCATTATCTTTTTCACCACTTCCTCCTCTGCGCTCTGTTTGTTTTCACATATTCTATTATTCCTTTTCCTCTAGATTGATCAGAACACAGCTGCAGGTATGATATTCCATTGCTATTTTCCCTCTTCTACTTAAACCCTGTAAATACCAGCCTCCTAGAAACCCCTTAATATCCCTCTGGAAAACATCCTTTTACTGCAAACTGTAAAATTTTTGTCCACACCTTGTAGGAAAATTCATAGTGCAACAATAAGTGATTTGTGGTTTCTTCCCTCCTGTTGCACAGGGCACATCTCTATCTTCTCCCAAGCCCACTATTCTCCTGTCCTCACCTCCCCTTCTCACTCTGCTATTATATAATTTCTGTAACAACTCCATAAGTGATGATATTTCCCAATCATTTAGATTTCTGCGGAATTGAGCATTCGAAATTATATTATCATTCTGCATCATCAAGTAGTCAGCCACTTTTGCTTCTTTATTGCAAGCTATTTCATCTAGCCTCTGAAAAGACTACATGAGAGGCCTGTCATCATACCACTTGTCTTTCCAGAACAGAATTCTCTCTCCATTTGTCTTTTCACTATCAGCCACATTTGAGCCATTGGGGTTTTTATATGGTTTTCATTATTTCTTTAATGCAGCTGGTTTGAGGTAGGGGTACAGAATCCAGCATGTGTCCTTGGTATGTTTTTCTTCTCCATAATGAGTACACTTCAAGTTCCTTTTGTCACCATTTTTGTTTCCTTTATCAATGCTGGAAACCAGTACTGATTGTTCAGTAGGCTAAAAACGAGTTTCACTTCTCATCTCTTTTCTTCTCAGTTCTTCATTTCTGATTAAATAGAAAACATACCGCAGATTAGGTAACTCATCCCTCCCTAAGATTTGGGAATGAATGCTCTCAAAGGAGGGATTTAGCCCTGCAAGAAACTTAAATATCAGGCCTTCCTCAATCTTTTTATCATTATTTTCTTCATCTTTGGTGCTCCACCAGTCTAAAACCAGATGGTGATCAAGTTCCTCCCAAAGACCTTCCAGAGTTGCAAAGTAGGTTGCCATAGAGAGTTCTCCTTGTTCAGCCCACCCAAGCAAAATTCTTTCTCTGTCCATAAGTTTTTTGAAGTTTGTCCGATATTTTATATGTTGTGCTGTAATGCTGTATTGTTCTTGACTTCTTGCTTTCTTGGGTGTCATAGATTGGAGAAGCCAAGACATCACAATGGCATTCTCCCTACACCAAGATTTTGAAGTTTGTCTGTTGATCAGCCTTTGGCTCAGCGACCTGTCCATTAATGTGCCCTTGCATTCCTCTACTGATAATAGCAAGCTTAGCTGAAATGGCCCATTCAGCATAGTTGAATTTATCCAACTTAATGTTGGTAATTTGAAAGGTAGGGCTGTCAAAAATAGGAAGAGTCTCTCCTGACTTGGGGCATTTCCTTTGATGAAACTTCACTGGTTGTAGACATTCTTAACAGCAGGTACCTAATGTCACACCCAACTACACAAGAGCAATGTACCAAATAAACAAATACAGCAAGGGAGAATATATTTTACCTTCTAGAAAACCCAGAACTAGGAACAGCTCAAGGAAAAACAGTTCCTCAAGATTCAAGAAAGGCAACACGTTGCACACTATTTTTTTTTACTGAAGTAGAGACCTCTGGAAAGATTACACTTCTCCATGCAACAGATTTTTCAGTTAGTTCCCCCTTGCCACAAAGCCCTAACCTGAACTCAGGTCTCACTAGCATTCCATAGACTGCTCCTTTCTTACCCTAACAGGGCATAAACAAGACTTCTTAGGGTGTCCTTGGTTTCTCTTCCAAGGAGAATCCCCAGAGGAAGAACAGGTGCTGTAGAAGTCCACGAGCAGTCTAGAACTTCAGCTCTCGTGGGTTGGACGTGAAGACAGAGAAGAGCAGTAAGAAATAAAGAGAAGAAGCTTCTTTGATACCACGAAGTCCATTGAGGAAGAATGAAGAAGAGAGAATAGAACAATCAAAGGAGTTTTGAAAATGGGGTGGCAGATTGTCCCATGCTCCGCCCAGAAAAGATTTATATTATGATTTAAATAGGTGGGCTGAGAAAATAAAGGAAACACATAACATATAAAGCCCAGACCCACAACTAACCAATACAAACATTTAAGCCCACTAACATATTATGTCTCACAACAATTGACATGTCCCCTTGAATCTCCCCTACTTTTTTCTGTTTATTCCTTCTTCCGATTATTTATCATGATAACCCATAAATACTTTGTAAGGTCATTACCTTGTTTTTTGATATCTTATCTTTTTTTTCTTCTCTCTTCTTTTCAGCTAGTTTTTGAAAGCTGTCTCAGATCCAAATGGTTTAAACTGTAATACCTATTACTGGGTTTTCCTTGTCATCTATGATTTAATCTTTGAAAGTTCCTTTATAAAAACTATGTTTTACTATCAAGTCAATCTACAAAGGAGATTTTAATCATTGTGCTCATATTGTCTGGAGTCTGGACTCAATTTGCATTTTATATGAATAATATGAATTGGTCATGTTTTTTTGGTCACCAAAGGATCTTATCTTGCATTTTATAGGGTCTAAACTTTTGATCCATGAACTTCCTTCAATATTAGATGGATCTGCAAGTGTGAGAGCACAAGCACAAGATGACTCCAAAGCTACTTTGGCTCCTAAGGTATTTCCTTTTTCACCAATGGCATGAGTCATGACACCTAACATAGCCCATCATGTATTTTTGTCATTTCCTTCTGTGACCTGTCACATTTTCGTGAACATGAGATCAATTGTATCTAGTATCTACAGACACCTATATGGAAAAGTTCACATAATTTGTGTTGATAGGTGGTGGGATCTTGGATCCTATCTGGATCATGACGTGATCCATTGAAAGCACTATTGATGACCAAATAATACAGTTGTTTACCTGTGCATCAACTGTGTCATGTGAGACGTATTTTGATGCCACTCTAATCCACTCACTAAACATATTTGAGATATTGTGTAAATTTTCAGACTTGGACCAATCCAGAATGGCACTTGATGAAAATGAAATATCATCCCAAAATAGAGATGCTACATGACCTTATTCAAACTCTAGATTTCCAACACTAATGCCCATCCAATGTTTTGAAATCTGCATACAGAAAGTGAGTGTGATACCTTCATATATAGTAGCATGTAAAGGATTTGAGTAGTAAGCTTGTTTACCATTTAGAGCTTCACAGTTTATCACTCGGGAATTAGGTAAGAGAATGGAAAAGAATGTATAACCCACCCCTGCTTGTACTTTGAAAGGTTTGTGCCAATTCAATTTTATTGGCAATGGGTATTATGTATAACACTAATGTTTGATTACAGATTTAGAATAGTTAAAAAAAATAAGTATCTTCTTGAACTGCAGATAATGCCGGAGGAGTCATGGCTATCCTTTGATCAAGAAGCTTGGGTTTTACATAACAAGGTAAGATCTTTCATCTTCCTCTCAATTTGGCTACAGCATCACAAAAATCGACTTCTTTAGGTTCGGGCATTTGCAGGGTGGCCAGGCACCCGAGCCAAAGTCTGCATCCTAGATGGAAATGATCATCAAAATAACATCTTAGAGCTTAAAGTTATCACCACAAAAGTTTGTACAGACAATAACACTCAGGTTAATGACAAAGATATTGTCACTTTTGCTGGAGGTGCATTGGTGTTTCAATGTGGTGGGGATACAGCGCTCGAGGTAAGAGTGGATATTCTTGTCATGTATATTCTATGCGTTTAGCGGTTTTAGCCGAAGATTTGTTATGAAACTATTGCTGATGTAGGATACCTGGCTTGAAATCAGGTGTTAGAAGTTCAGTTCCCAGGTAAGAAGGTGGCGAGTGCAAATGCATTTTGGAATGGCTTGCGAGGTCGAAAGCTGAAGAAGTTGTGATAGAAGCAAGTCATAAACTCACAAGGACAACCACTAGCTGAAGGTTAAGCAATCTGATTTGTATTTTATTTTCTATTCTTTTGTTTTTATTCATCATCTTAAAACTATATATACCAATTAATCTTCCAAAGTTTTCTTTAGGAGAGTTGTGTTTTGACAGAGAGGTGCTTATGCAATTTTCACATTTTGTATTCTGAAATTTAATGTTTTGATCTACTTCGGGTGAGAAAATGCCGAAGGTTTGGTTCATATCTAATCCACCATTCCTAAGGTCATAGATAGCCGGAGCAAATTGGGTAATGGTCTCTATTAAAATAAAGCTCATCTCTTACAAAATTAGGAGAAGAATGAACTTACATGCAGAAGTAGCTTTAAATATCTTTCAGTTCACTAACTTCACTCAATGACAGTGATCACTAGTAGGTGCTGATATTTATTTCTATCCTGTGGCCTGTACCATCTCATCTGATTGCATCAGACACATGCAAGGTTACATTTACATTCCTTCCAAATTTTGTTAAAGTATCTTGATACCGCTCCATTTAAATGATCCGGGTACAGGGTACCCATAAATACTGGATACCCGTAAGGAGGGATGCTAGTCTCACCAGAGTTAGTCCCGTGGAGGTCCTCAAATCACAAAACCACAGTGAAGAACAAGTGTTTTTATGCTACTACTGTGTTTCTGACTTTCTGGGCATTTTACATCTTGTACTTATTTTGATTTAAGATCTTCGTGGTGCTCATTCCGTGGCGCTGGCAAGCATTAACCATGAGAAGTTCATTGAATTTTAGATGATAGAGCATCTTAAAATCGCGTCAACTCTCTAAATTCACATTTCCACTTAAAAACGATGACAATTTTCCCTCTATTCTCCCCCGATCTCCGCGGGGATGGGATGGGGGAAATTTTCATCTCGGGTTTCCCGATCCTCGTCTATGTATGTAGGCATGTATAGACTTGTGTATGTATGCATGTACGTTAATATTTTAAAAAAATGTGGGGGAATATATTTAGATTTTTTTATTAGGATTGTAAATTTTAGTTATTATGTTTTTAATTTTTAAATAAAAAATAAAAATAAAATAATTGACATCATAAAAAATAATGGAAAGTGGGGATAGGATCCCCATGGAGACAGGGATGAGGATAACCTTATCCCCGCCAACGGCAACAGGGATGGGGATGGGAATAGGAATTTTCGCAGAGACAGGGATGGCCGATGGGGAGTGTCTCCCTATCCCAGCCCCGTTCCATTCACAAAAACTGCACTTGCCAGTTGCCGCATGGCTACTATTGTATTTTAAACAGAAATATCTTTCGACGAGCTTTAGATTGGTTTCTTCGTGGCACAGATATCTCCAAAACAAAGTATGGGCATCCCCACACCGGCACACTCTTATAGGTTCAAATTTATTTTGTGTCGTCCCTCTTGTAGAACAATTCCGTTTCCCACTGAAAGCTTATGACTTACAGACTTGTGAGAAAACTGAGAGTGTGAGGTTCGTTTGGTATGCTTCAAATTTTTGTCATTGGCTCTTGTTATGGGTGGCCACTAGCTATTTGAGCTCGGCTTGGCTTGGTTTGAATCAAGCTTCGAGTCGAATTCGAGCCCGATATATATAGGCTCGTTTGTTAGTCGAGTCTAGTGAGCTCTGTTCGTAAGGCTCGTAAGTCTAGTATTAAATAAATAATTTTTATTATATACATACATGCATACATACATACATATAAAAATATATAATAAATAATTTTATTATATATAATATTATTTTTATTTTTCATGTATAATAGTAAATAATTTTTATAATAATTTTTTGTATATAATATTAAATAATTTTTATAATTCTTAATTTTTGTCTAAAAAATAAAAAAAATTATACATATAATTTTTTATTTTTCAAAAAAAACTTGGCTTATAGTTGAGTTCAAGCCAAATCAAGCTTGAACTTGCGAGCTATGAATCGAGCTAAGCTCAAACTCAAATCTCTAATTCGAATCAAGTTTGGGCCTGATAATATTCCTATTAACCAAACTCGAATAGCCAAATATTCAACACGAATCGGCTCGGTTCAAATCCACCCCTAACTCGGGCCATAAAATTAGATTAATTTAAGAATCTTGTCTGGACTATTTTTGTGACTGTATTACGTGATACATTCATTGCTTTGTTCTAGTTAATGATATAGCTCAACCATTCCATGTCACTGTCAGATGACTGCAACTTGTCGGCCATGGAATCTGTGGTTCAGCATTTTGGCCATTTGGATTCGTGGGTGGACAAATCAGATGTATGGCGTTAGGCCTAGCCACGTGTACATCTAGAAAGAATGCGATATTTGATCCTCATTCATTGAATGACATAACCTCGACGTGAGGAAAGCTTGATGGATGGAGTGTACCTTTTGATTTCAATATTAAGCAAGTAATGGCTTGAAGGAGACACCCTCATCAATATCAGCCCAATTAACTTCTCTGATTCTTGGTCTCATATCCCATTTGAATTTCATCTGGGTATGTTTAGAGAGAGAGCAGAATCCGAGGCCACATAAAGATGAAGAGAAACTTCTTGCCAGAAATCTGTTTCCTTTTGTTCAAATTGAAACAAGAAACTGTTCTTGAATTTCTGATTTCAAAGACATGTTCAAGCATGCAGTTGCAATATTCACATAGAAATTATGATTAAATAGGCCCAAATCCATTAAATGTAGATTGGTACGATTTAGAGGGTTCATAGGATATTATTATGCGTACCAAACAGATACATACCAAACAATGACACCCTATCTTTCAGAGAAAAAAAAAAAAAAACAATTACACCTTTATGGAAATAAAAGCACGTTTTTTGGTTTTTGAAATATCTTTTTAAAAACACACAAGAATTTTTGTTTTGTTTTTTGCTGATTGACATTTCTTAAAAACAAGAAAAGCAAAAGCATTCATTTTGAAAAACACCCACCACATGGTTTTTAAAACCGACTCGGTGACCGAATCGGTCAGGGGTCCGGTTATCGGGTCGAACGGTCCGACCATTCAAACCGAACGCTCAGCCTGTTCTGACAAGAAAATAAAAAAAATTCAAAAAAATAAAAAATGGTCAAAACCGTTTGAATGGTTCAAACGGTTAGCCATCCAGTTCAGCAGTTCGCTGACCAAAATCAACGGTTTCGAGGGGAAATCCATTTTTTGGGGAAAACAGAACCAATCACCTGACCAGTTTCCCAGTTTTTCCAGTCTGACCATCCGGTCCGATCCGGTTTTGGAAACCATACCCACCACCTGATCCTCCCATCCAATATAGCAAATGTGACCCATCACGTACAATACAACCCGCCAAAGACGTACAGTAGCATTTCATGGGCCTTGCCAGACATCAACTGCTCCCAGGCAGGAATGGGCTTAGGCAATTAGAGGCCAAAATCTTCAAAGAAATATAAAATAATAGCAACCCCACATTGTTCAACCAACTCACTGGTCACTGGCGAAATTAATAGGAGATGTGTACAAGGACGTCCACCAGAAAACCCAACCAACTCAGCCCAGTTGGCCTTTCCAACAGCGACTTGGGTCTCAAATGTCAAATCCGACCCAGACCCATATATCATGGCTTTGGTTGTCATGCATTTCCAACATTCTCGGCAATAATGCATGGTCATATGCAGCTCCATTGCGCTACCCCATCTTTGGCATGTAGCGCAATGGTCATTGCTTCTGGGTTTGGACAAATTAACTCTCACTGCCTCTACCCATCTGAGTTGGAAAAAGCATACATAAAATCAAAATGCCTAACCATCTCCATCTGGGTTGGAAATTGGAATATGCCCATGATCCGTCATGCTTCGTCCAGTCGAACCCAGGAAGAAGCAAGGGAGATTGAGCTTTCAACAACTGGAAATATTGATCCCATGTGATAAACGGGATTCATTTTGGTTGCCTTTGTTTTATTTGGAAAATATTAGCTAGTAACGAAAACAAATCTGCATAAGAAAAAATAAAGGGTACAAAATCGATGTTGCAGTTTGGCAAATGAAAAGTGAGTACATAAGGTTGCAAGACACTTGGCATTCATGGGTACCTGTTTGATTGTTTTATTTGGATTGCAGATTTCATGAAATCTTGAATTTTTAGGATAATTTTAATTAACCATGATATATGGGCAATTGGGCAATGGGTTTCTCAACTTGAAGATGAATCATGAATATCAATAAATTAGATTAAAATTGCAACAATTTAAACTGAAGAAAAAAAAAAGGAACAGTTGTTTTGCTCCAAACCAGGTCAAAATCAACCAGCCTTTCATGTATAAGGAACAGTAAGTGCATATGTATATTGTATGCCCATGAAATCATCAATTCATCATAGAAAAAGAATGCAAATTTTATAGTATAAAAATATATTTTTTTTACCAATTGCTGGTTCATTCTTAAGTTTTCTGACTAATTGTAGTGGAGACTTAGGATCAAATCTAATTGCCACCAGGGTTGGGGGTTATGGGTCTCTGTTTACCATTGTATATATTTAGCACCTTGAAAAAGAAAAAAAAAAAAAAAAAAAAACAACACATGATGTAGATATATGCACCACAAATCCAGTTGTAAATGTTGCAATGTGAGTTCTACAAACACCTTGTGTTGGCAAAGTCTTGACTGTAATGTAGCACTCATGATGGGGTGTAATATTAAATTGTTCATGAATCATGGTCTAAGCTATTTCCTTTTAAGAAAATTTCATCAAGCACTCTCTCTCATCAAACACCCACCATGGAATACCTTCAGATTCAATTTTGCTTAACAAAGCCCCTGTATTATATGGGTCCCCACTAGAAAAATGACACAAATAAAAGAAAAATCTAGGCCTAGGGAAATATAGGTAGGGGGCTAGTATCTCCTCTTGACTATTGCATGCCTTTCTTTCTTTCTTTCTTTCTTTCAATAATGCATGTATGATGGGCTAGTTCCATATCATTTACTTCGCAATGTCCATATGACTTGGGCTGTGTTATGCAAGGCATCCATCTCCATCAGTACACCAACTGTTCATCATAGAAACTATAACCACAAATAATAGAAAAAATAGGAACTTGAGAAGGATTTTGAACCATATGCTAGCTTTACCATTAAATAAAGTAACCATTTATGATCCCCTTTTAGATTTTAATTTTTCATATATATATTTGAATTTTATTCCAGCCGTGAAAGTGAAAGTGAGGGATCATTACTTGGTGTAATGGCAAAATATCATACTAAATAACAAGCATGAAAATGCGAGTTCAAGTCTGAAGGCATGCAATTGTTATAAGGGAATCAAGGGAAACCGGATTTAGTCACTGCAAGTTTCATTCGAATAGTCTTTATAGCCTTGCATTAGGAATATCTCCCCATGAAATAAAGTATAGAATTACAGAGATGTTCCAATGTAAGGCTGTAAAGGCTATTTGAGCGGTGTTTGAACAGTATTTGCACTGACTGAAGCCGATCTCGAATCAAGGATAGGGCGAAGTGGAGCAGGATGTCCATGATACTCACGAGCCATACCACATAGATCTAGAAGTTCTATAGGTTTGATCCCGCACCTCATGTACGAATGGAGGGGTATACCAAGTGGCCATCTCAACAACTGGGTCATTCAAAACATACCAAAGGTTAGGACCATACTCAATCTACCTCTCCCAAGTAGGGGGGTGTCAATAGTATTCGAAAATCCAATTTCGAATTCGAGATTTGACATAATTGAATCAAATTCGGATAATTTGAATATCTAATTGATTGAATTCGGATATCCTATTCATACCAATTGGTTAATCGGACTTGAATTCAGGTATAATCTGATTCAATTCAATAAATATCCAAATTTGATCGATTATTTATTTCTTATATATATAATATTTAAATATTTTATATTATATATAATAATTAAATTATATAAATAATTTATATATTTATATACTTTATATAAATAAAATATTTATTTTATATATTTATTAATGACCTAAAATAATTAATTGGTCGAATTTGAATCAAATCAAATATTTGAATATTTAATCAAATTCGAATATTAATTTTCAATATTTATTGAATATCAAATCAAATTCAGATATCAAATTTTTAATCGGATTCAAATTCAAATATTACCTAATTCAATTTGAATTTGATGTATTTACACTCTTACCAACATTGGACAATAGCCTATATGGCTATAAAAGTGAACAAGACCACATGATAAACTGTGGTGCTTACCTCTGAAATATCATGTAATGATGATCAAGCTATTAATATGATCATCAAGAAATTCTCTTTTTTCCTATATGGTTACAGTCATACAGATTAAGCAGGTTTATATTATAGAATGCCCTTAAAATAGAAGCAATAGAGTGGTGGCCCTGCAGCATTGCGTTTGTGCTACATGATCCTCTCTATACGCATCGATAGACCAGACCAGTAGTAGGGTCTGTAAAATTATTATTTAAAACATCATCATCATTTTCACAGTCATCATCATCGTATTCAACTGTTAATGTTTAATAATAAAATAACTAATTTTCTTTGGACTGCTGACCTACTTAAAAAGGGGTCTCAAGTTTCATACGTATAGCAGTGTGTCATTTATTGATTTTCAGGGTCCAAAATCCCACCGACCTGTATCAGAACCATTTTGGCCATAGTTTAACCGTTTGGTTTGAACAAATGATTTATTTTAACTGAAAATATAAAAAAAAAATTAATTAAAATAAAAACGGTTAAAATCATTAAACAGATTAAATGGATTGACGATCAAATCAACAATTTTTAACTAAGAACCAAATTAAAAATAAAACAAAAACAGTTATATTAACGATTTCTAAGCCAAACAGTCCAACTGTCCAGATTAACAGCGGTTCGAAAACACTGGTTAATATCATCAAGGTACTTGAAAACCGAAACAATTTCAATCCATGAGCATCTCCACTTTGATATGCATTTCTTGCATATGGTGAAGATCGACACTTTGTAGAAAAATTTCCTAATTCCATGGTTGCATGCAACCCCAATCAACCATGAACAGGCCAGCGTTTTAAGCCAAACATGGTTGATGTGATGTTTTGTTTGTTCTTTCAAACATGGTTAAAAGGAACGCCAAAAGTGATTTATAAATTTTAAGGAGGTAATGGGATATTCTAGTTATTTCCCAATAAGAAAAGGGGGGAAGCAAGCAATTTCCATTGAAGAAAATCAAAAGCAAACAGGAAAGCACTTTACAACAGTTGCCCATTAAGCCAACAAATAAATAAACAATGAAAACCCAAAGGAAACTAGCTGCCCTCTAATGATAACTGAGCACCGAGTATGATTTGGACTCCAAAGCTCTATTAATTTTCAGTTTTTAAATTAAAGCAACTTGATCATTCGTTCACACATCTTCTCTGAAGCCATGATTAACCTCTTTATATAAATACAACCACACCACCTTATGTATCTGCAGGAACCCATTCCTCTGTCTCCAACCTCCATTCCTCCTCCCTCTCCTCTCCCTCGTTTGAAACTCGCTGTTGCTAACAGCCCCAACAGAAGAAGCAAGATGGGTGTTCTTGACCATCTGCCGAACTTTTGCACTGTAACCAGCACGAGGAGCAAACGCAAACCAATGCAGGTACTCGTTAGCACCACCAACGCTTTTCATCTTTTGCTCTTTTCGCTCACTTTCCTCTGTGTAAACTGTGAAAGAGAAGGCATATTTTACATTAGAAGCGTTTTATTCAAAACTGAGTTTTTCTTTCCTTTGTCAGACAGTGGAGATCAAGGTGAAAATGGACTGTGATGGCTGTGAAAGAAGAGTTAGACATGCCGTTTGCTCCATGAAAGGTTCAAAGACAAATCTCACTTTTTGGCCTCTCTCTCTCTCTCTCTCTCTCTCCCCCCCTCTTTCTTCATAAAGCTTCTCTTGATGTGATTAAGGATTGTTAAGATGCGAATAACGTTATTGAAAAGTAAGATAAAGTCCACTCTTTTCCGTTCATTGACACAGTAAACTGAGATGAGTTTTGTGACTCTTGAGTTACAAGAGCTCATCATAAGAAAAGGTCCATGCTGGATCAAATTCAATTCTATTTTAAGTGGTTTTTTTTTTTTATTCAGCTTACACCCTTTTGGTTCTAGGGAACTTCTTCAATATGTGATTTAAAAAGAGACAAGAATTTTGCAAGACTTTTTGCTCATTCAACATGAAAGAAAGAAGAAGAGGGAGAAAGAAAACAAAAAAAAAAGCAGCATATAAAGAATCCCTTTTCATTTTACAAGGCTTTAACTAATTTATTGTTCTGTGAGTTTCATTTGTGAATCTAAATATTTTCTGCAAAATGGATTCATATGCTGCTTCACTTTTTCTATACTTTTCCTTGTATTACAATAGTTGGTTAGATCGGTTGCCTCATCTAGAAAAAGAATATTTCGTGTCCAATTTAATGTAGAAAGAAACAAAACTATTTCTTTCTAACATGCTAATCCAAATGAACATTAACAGGTTAATCTGAACATTATAGTCCTGATATCCATAACACTGTATATTAATAATCATCAAATGGGTTTGATAAATGATCATTTGTTTCTTGATTCAGGTGTGAGATCGGTGGAAGTGAACAGAAAACAGAGCCGGGTGACAGTTACTGGGTATGTCGAGCCAAACAAGGTCCTGAAGAGAGTGAAGAGCACTGGAAAGAGAGCTGAATTTTGGCCCTACGTTCCTTACAATTTGGTGGCATATCCTTATGTGGTTCAGGCCTACGACAAGAAGGCACCAGCAGGGTTTGTGAAGAATGTGGTTCAAGCAAATCCTTCACCAAATGCAACCGATGAGAAAATAATGACACTCTTCAGTGATGACAATCCGAATGCATGTTCAATCATGTAGAAATATCTATTTGAAAGTGAAAGTAGTCTTGGCTCTTGGGCACTGGTTTGGGCTTTGGGCCCACAAGTGAAAGTGATCTCAGATGAGTTAGTAGCAACATGTGTGTACTTGAGGTGAATATTGAGTTTGCAACCAGAGAGAGAGAGAGAGAGCTTTGTTTCTTGTGACTTCATGGATGTGCAATCTCATATACTTGGAATGCTTTCTTCTGATTGCAACTAAGCTGTTAGTTCTAGGCTTGAAATACATGATGAGATTGAGAAAAGTGGTGTTTTAGGCCCTTTTGGGTAACAGTTACAGATCTTTCTCTTTGTTTTTCTTATTTTAACCAGCAATTGATGCCGTTTAATTGCAATTACAATAATTTAAAGATGAATTGGTGCCTCCAATCACAATTAGAATAATGTAAAGATGGCATTCAAAATAATAATAATAATAATAATAATAATAATAATGTAAACACTAAAGATGAGTGGGTTCAGAGAGAGAGCACCGTCTAAAGGTTATGTCTTATGTGCATGATTGTAGTGCTTGTTTGGCCCTTCCTAACCCACCCCAGTTTGGACCAAATCAGACGAGACCCAACCCAATTTTAATTTCTTAATCTGTTCAAAATTTTCCTGGTTATGTTTGGTTGCTTTTTTCCCCCCCTTTTTTTTGGTAAAATTAGTTGAGCTTTTCTCAATGTAGTCTAATCCGGCTTGGATACAAACTGTCCAACTATACCCGGATTTAGCCCCGCTCTAACCCATTTAGGCTATGTTTGGTTTGAAGGAAAAGGTAGGGAAAGAAAGGAAAAGATATAAAAACCTATATAAAATTTGTAAAAGTTTCCTTAACTTTTCTTTCTTTTTCCTATTTTGTTCCTTTAAAACAAACACAAGCTTAAGGTTCAGCATCTGAGGCTTAGGTAACCCATGAATTGTTTATCTAACAACAAAGTTTCAGAGTCTAATAATTAGGGGGCTCTATTGGAAAGAAACAAAGCACAGATCCTTGAGCAGATGGCTTCAAATATCTGAATCCTAAAAAACATTATATTAGGTTTCAATCCACTAAGGTTCCAGAATCTCTGGGTCCTGCAGCAGAGTAGTTGCGGACAAAACAGTTGCAGGTTTCATTAATATATAGTAAACAAAAGAAAAGGACAAAAAAGTCCTTAGAAGTTAGGACCAGAAGGTCTCAGTGAATTCACTCTGGCAGGTAGGCAATAGTCAGATGTGGGAGACATGGAAGGGATCGATGCCATGCATCATTAGGTTTTTCCCAGTTGAGGAACATGTCTTGGTCAAAATTCAGCCTTATCTGATGACTATAACTATTTTTTTTATTCTGTCCAAAAAATGTTATTAACCAAATAAATGACCGTGCTTGGATCTAATGTTTGGCATCAGTGGTAGACATGTGGAATTGTTTGGAACTGGTGTTGTTATATAGGCGTTTTTTGAGAAAACATCATTGGTTTGTATGATATTAGTGCTTGTAGCAACGTTTTTAATACTGATTTATATTATTCATGTCCAAGATGATGCCACATTGATGCCACGTCATTGCATCGTTGGCAGCAATGCAATGTTTTCTCAAAAAACATTGAATTTGATGTTGATCCAGATCATACTTTTCTGATTTTCGAGGTATAGTTTAGAGCAATATCTTTTCTGAAAAAATGGTACCAAATAAAAGGATGTTATTTGAAACACTGTATTCTCTGATATGGCACCATTTTCTCAAAAAACGGCATTAATGCCAAATATCACCATGTTTTGCCATGTCTAAAGCATTACCCTTCATGGACCATGACAGATAGTATATTCTCAAGACTATGACTTCTTAAGATAATCTTTGTATATAAAATCAAAGGTTCTCATCTAGTGGGCTTACACTTGAACCAACTTTCAACTTTATTTCCCTAATTTCTGGCTTTAATCAAATGATGATGTCACGTTATTATATGATAACTATCATAATAATTTATATAAATATAAGAACTGATTTGGTTACATGTCTCTTAACCTCCTTTTCTCCTTCTTCTTCTTCGGCATCTCAGCAATATTATATTCTAATCAGACACCGCTAGCTAAGTGGAATTTTTGTCTAATTATCTGGAAATAAAAGTTTGTTTAAATTAATGCTGACATAGTGACATGGGTGTCCACCAAGAATGTTAGAACACATAAAAGTGATGAATATGAAAAGATCTATAATATACAACGAGAGTGGGAGGGGAATGATTCTAGGGAGAATAATGGCTGGTTTGAGATTTATCATAGGAGAAGTTTCTCTTAAAGAAAACTTTGTGGTCCTTTAACACTATTTTGGGGACTTAATTTATTAAATTAAGTAATCCCAACACCATGACACCAATCAGCCATCTCTGCCTTGGGATTCTAAAAGACCAACTTCAATAATTGGTTATTTTAGGTTAACCTATCTTATGGGAAAAAGGGCAATTGGGTATCCCTTTATATGCTTTATTACTAACCATTAGATCATTAGGGTCCCACAACGGAATATATATATACCTTTGACTAAGAATCAACCCTAGAGCTATAGGAATGTTGGATAATCATCTCATCTTATTATATGCACTGTGATAAAAAGGAACTCAATATTTGGATGGTTAACACCATCCCTACCTAGCTAGTATCATCCAATCAGTTGGATTGGGAAGTGCACTGATGATACAAGCCACTTAGGTTGTGTCACGTGTAGGGAGACAGGTCACGTGTCAAAATGGTGGATCCCATCTATATATAAATGTAGTACTGTGTTTACTTCAATGATGGCCGGTGAACAAACAACCCATGAAAACCATCATGGTTAGCGGCATGAAACAGAGAATAATCCCCTCTGATGTTGGATTATCTGATGGGCTTCAAGATCATCTGATGCATGTGAACTTTCAGACTTTATATTGATTAACAGTGGTGACCTTCCAGCATATATTGCCATATCCCTGGTTGCTGCTACCTATCCTCTTGTGATTAAGAAAAGCCCAGAATGAATGAAACCAATGAATAGAGAGAGAAAAAGTTTTGCCAGAGGCAGAAAGTTTTGACTTCGATATCCTCTTTCCTTTCATTCTATTCAAGAACCCAAAAACCCATCTCTGTTCTGTTGATGAAAGATCGAGTTGTAATTTCTTTTGGTTAGTGGAGTTGGGGTGATACTAGGTTCCTCAGTTCCTCAAACTTAACACAAGAATAAAATGACCAGTAAATGTTGTCGAGAAGGCATCACATGGGGAACTGAACTCAAGTGTTAAGATGGGTGGGTGCCTCTTGCATTTAATTTAATTTAATTTAGAGGTACAGAGTTTTCTGAATCACAGTGGACCGGCTGGTCCAACCAGTTGAGTAGGGAATTGAACTCCTAAATGATCATGGGGCTTCTTTTTACTTTTTAGGCAAAGATTTTGAAGCTACTGAAACGTTAAGCTTAATCCTGAAAATAGAAAAAAAAAAAGAGAGAGAGAAACCTATTCTGAGCTCTTTGCGTTGGTGGAGGGTGGTTCAGTATAGCTAGATGGACAGCGCAGCCTTGGATGCAAATTTAAAGTAAGCAAGCGAACAAGGACAAAGAAGCGATAGGTACCAGCGCAGTAGCCCTCATTGGGATACAATACATGGACTAAGAATCGGCTCTGCCTCCAATAGGAAGTGATCCAAGGGACTGACCATTATTCCTGCAAGCTTTCTCCCATTAAACAGACACATCTCTTTTACAGGGTGGTACCTACCACCAAGGCAATGAGGCATCAACCATGTGCCCACGAAATTGGTAAAAGGCTATCGCAGCCTACAACTCAAACTTCTTCTTTTCACACACACAAACACACACCAGCCCAGACTATAAGACAGACGAGACCTGACAACTTGGTCACTGCAACACATAGGCTGGAGTCTTGATATCGATGTATGTTTTAATTTGCTTCTATCCTTTTCTAGGCCTGCTCATCAATCTCTGATCTGTGTATTAAAACACTAGTTCCTTGTTTTCTTTGCTTTCTTTTTTAACTACTACTACTTACATTGATTGATTTTGGGTATATTGATGTGCTTTGCTAGGAGTACGTTGATATTCATTTACTTAACTCTTCTCACAATGCCTTGGATTCCTTTCTTGTCACGGTGGTTGTTTTGTACGCAGATTATTGCTTTCACATTTCTGCATGGCTGCTTTTAATACTGCCATTTCCATGGCCTTTTGAAATTATGGCTGTGCTTGTTCCTTCATACAATGGAAGGAAAATTTTTCAGACTAAAAAATATATATATATATATATTAGCTATTTTCTCCACTCTTTTTACAGTAATAATTAATACTTTGTTTACTACTTGTTTTGATGTAAATTTGTTTTCATTGTAAAAGAGGCCAAGACATATACAGTTCAAAGCCTCAAATATTTCATCATGAAAAAAACTTTTCCTTCCATTTTAGATGGAAACAAATTGGAGCCTAATAAGTAATACATTGGAACAACCTTTTCTCCTGGATGTGAATGAAACTACGCAATCTTTTTAAGTCTAGAATGTTTATATTTTATATATGTCAACTGGATAGGGGTTGTTTGCTTGTAAATTTTCGATGCTTGTGGCCTCCAATATCTTAAACTTTTGGAAGCTGAAGAAAGTCTTGAAGAGATGCTTCAAAGAAAGGTTGAATGTGAAAGGGACTAAAAATCCTATGGATTTGACTGGGCTGGGCTTTTAGTTGGTAGAATGCTAACATGGGTTCAAATGGGCCCAGCTCAGACTTGGTTTTTTTTTTTTTTTTCTCATCCCTAGCATATCATATGAAAATGGTCAATTATCCAAAATAAGCATGTGAAAATGGGCAGAAGGGAATATTTGGGCTAAACTTGTTCCATTCACTGATTCACATACATCAATGTTGTCAGACTCAGCCCGGACACAACCATTTTGCTCATTGGGTCACGGGTCAAGCGGTTCGATTATTTGGTTTGACCATTTAACACATTCAAATAAAAATAAAAATAAAAAAGGAGCAAATAGTTCCAGACTTTCTTCTAAAGCTATTTTATATCAAAATACATGTATTCAAGGTAGGTTTTGACCAAGCAAAGAATTGGTTAACCTAAAAAAAAATCAATTTGGCTGTTGTTTCCTGGCTCTCACAGCCCGGTCTGAGTCTGACAATTTGGCTTGATGCTTATGAAAGTAAGTAATCCATTGATCCATTCTTGGGTGATCTCCTTTGATGCCTTTTAAAGATGTTTTTTGAAGTTGTTAAAGAGAAGACTTGTGCTTATATTAAACAAGGATCAAAATTTCGTCAAATATCGGAGCGTATCAGGCATAT